TCCTTTCAGTGCCCTACAGAGACTACCCCTGGCAGATTTTGTTATCTTTTCCCTGGCATGGGGCGCCGTCTGGAAGCAGAAGGCAAAGGCAGTATGAAACAATAATAGCAGGCCGGGAGGAAAGGTACCAAGAGAGAAAGAGTGTACACACAAGTACCGGTAGTCCTGCACTAAATGTCGCAGAGAGGTCATGCTTGGAATCGGCAATTGCCCACCTAAATATTGTTATTTCTGCCTGTGCATGCATCCACTTCAGACTCGTTAAAAGTGGAGAAGTTTTCCGGTGAATTGAAAGCCAAACATGCAAAAGTGCCTCTATCAGCGTACTGTACAATATGATATTATAAGTGAATGTGAATGTCTGTACTTGCAGATACATGTACATGTATTTACATGGGTATAATTAAGTGATTGATAATTAGCAGATCAGGCCTGTTTGCCCTTGCATTTGTGTACATGTTTGAATAAATATGTGAAGCATACATTTACGTACTGTACATGTACTAATCCCAGGTTGACCAGTCACATTAATTTTTATTGCTTGCAGTGACTGGTGGCCTTTAAAAAAGACAGTTTATTGTAGATGCAGGGTAATTTTTTGACTCTCATACCGGGTACATGACCTCTGGGATATTTTGTACTACGGTATTTCTTGTATGCATCTGTGACTTGATTAATTTAACAGGTACCGGTGCCATACTGTTCATCTTTATTTTTACTTTTATACTTTGTACATGTACATGTACTTAATGGACTACATGTACATGTACTTAATGGACTACATGTACATGTACTTAATGGACTACATGTACATGTACTTAATGGACTACATGTACATGTACTTAATGGACTACATGTACATGTACTTAATGGACTACATGTACATGTACTTAATGGACTACATGTACATGTACTTAATGGACTACATGTACATGTACTTAATGGACTACATGTACATGTATTCAGGAGAAAAATGTCCTTTCTTGTTTGACTGGTTAACTTCCCGCATACACGTACAGTGTACATGTAGGTTCATGCATGCAATGCATGGTGTGCTTGTCATCCAATCCTGTGATGGAGTGAGAACATCATACATGTATGTAAAGGTTGATTATGTCCTTAGTCTACAGTGCAAACACACATGTACAAAAATGATAATGTTTGTTCTGCTCAAACATGAACATTATAATTTTTTCCATGAACGAGTACATGTACTGTACAGTGCATACATGTACATGTACATGCATGGATGTACATGTACATGTACGTGTCGTGTGTACCATGTACATGTATGTATGTATGTTCCTCCAGGTCTTGAGGACGCTTACACATGTTACATGTACATGTGCCAATTGGTACATGTACATGAACATTTGAGGGACATGTTCGGCAGATTATCAAGTGCCAATTGATAACACTGCAAGTCCAACCTAGGGATTCTTCACAGTGTGCCATCTTCAAACTCATGCATGAATTTAACTTCACCAGTTGGCCTTGATGGCAAATGATTATTAAATTCCATCAGGCAGAATACCACATGCAGTACATTCTACATGTACATGTACATACATGTACATGTATGTGTACGGGATGTACGGTATGCCAATACATGTTACATGTACAGGTACAAACACATGCCGGTGTTCGTCGATCTCACGAAGTGACAAAAACCTGGGAAAAATCTATATTTTTTCCAATCTGCACTTTTTGTAGCCAAAGTATTACAGCCAAATGTTGTTTACTTTCTTACTTATTGTAAACAAACATTTGAGACAAGCTCTGTCTCTACGTTTTTTGGTCTTACCAAGTACATGTAGGGATCAAATGATGATCGGATCGGACATCTGATCGGGCCAATGTTCAGCAACATTGGCAAAACGTTGGATGTGCAAAATTGAGTGCCGGTGTTAAATTGAAGAAAGGAACAAACCCTGCGCTCAGTTTTGGCAAATACAAAAAAATGTACATGTACACATGTACAAATGCCTTTTTTTATTTGAGCATGAATAAAAACAGTGTTTTTTTTCATTTGGTCAGTTGGTGAGATAAATGAACAGTTATACTGTACCACGGTTAAACCCGTGTAAAATATCTCCGAAAATTACATCTTTGTGATCAGTACCGCAACTCAATGCATGAACCACGGACTCGGCGGAGTCAAGAAGCAGTCAGTGTACATGTTTACCATTTCCACTGACCACCGTGAAAAGAGTCTGGGAACTACATGTTCACCGGGTGTGGCACCATGAGGTGTTGTGTAAGCAGTCTGAAGGTCACTCAAGGCGTGCGTGGCTACCTGGACACGACGCGCACCTCTGCCGTTGGCATGAAGAAGACACCAATGTGAGTGGCAAAGCCATGAGCCGAGCATGATGCACTGGTGCCATGTACATGTACTGTACACTTTGACCATGTTGACTTACCGGTAAAGGCTAGCCGTGATTCAGCCCGAGGTGCTTTGTGTCTATTCTGTAGGCACTGTACATGCACATGCACATGTATGTGTGCACTGCATGAGTTGGTTTTGAATACAACGGAGCAGCATTGCCACAGCTTTAAAAAGTTTTCAAGACCTTGAAAAATCGAGACCCATCTTCAAAAGAAATCCGAAAAATCCACAAATCTTGAAAAAGTTAAAAAATCAGACAAAAATGTAAATTTCATTTAGAGATTTAATTGCTGTCCAATATGTACATTAATGAGTTTACTGGTGCATGTATTTGTTTTAAATTTATTGATCTTAAAAATCGTCTGGATGCCATACTTCTATGTACATGTACATGTAGACATGGTAGAGCCACACGTCTTGCTCCAAGCACGAGCTACATGTAATGATCACTAGGCTACATTGTATGTGTACAGTATCCAAGTTGTGACATGTTTGAATCTATACAGTCCGGTACGTGTCAGTCCATGCAGCATAATGGCACCAGTTTACTGTACAGCTTACTGCATAACATTTCTGCGTGAACAGAAATTTAACCAGTATACTCATGTACCGGTATTTTGTTATTTTTACAAAGGGTTATGTGATAATTTACATAGGCTTGAAAAATGTTGAAAATTTTAGACCCTGATTTTGAAAAACAAAATTATCCAGTGGTTACAATGCAACAGAGCACCATCGGTATCGCGTGAGGAGCTACATGTACTGTATGTGATGTACAATTCTCTCAACTCAGTGACGATAAAGGCAAAAAACTAATCTTGTTACTTGTAAAGTCTAAACTGATATTTTAAATTTTAAGGGAGTGTACTTGTTGTTACAGGTATGAGCAGGCTTGCATCAAAACCGCTACGGGGGCATTTATGAATGTTGATGATGCTTGGATGGGATAATTTTTTTTTCTGTTTTCAAAATTATTTAAAAATTCATACATGTACCTTCATTTACTGGACACTTACACCCACGCTAAGGACTGTCTGGGTTCTACTCTAATCTGACAGACAACATCTATTGACACTGGAGTACATGTACCGTACTTGCAGCCAGGCCTGCTGCCTTGTAAAAAGAGCCCAGATTGTGCAGTGTAACGTATTTTTCTTTTGTTCACGAACCTGGCACAGTGCGCTGCTGACCTCTTTCAATAGGGGCCAGATTAGCGTGCAGCGGTGCTGTGTGGCTCATCGCTGCCGTAGACGTGGTGGAGCGCTTTTATCCCCGGTGGTAATCCGCTCGCTCTAAATGCCCCGAACCCTGTTATACATGTACTATTTCAAAACAAGGCTGGATTATATCCATTATTTAGAGTGAAAAAATTTTGGTAATGCCCAGCAACGTGGTCTTTTGTTACGAGTACGGTCTTTTGTTACAAGGCCCAGTTCCCTTTGTCCGTTTTCGGAGACCCCAGCCACGTGTATAAAGAACATGTGTCCGGTACCAGCAACCCCAGCAGCAAGTGGTTAAGGTTGCATTTTCAGTTATTGTCAGTAAAAACATTGGACTGGATCGGACATCAGCCGATCAGATCAGTTAAAACCTACGGTCGGTTAATCCCTATCACCAAGGGACAAAAATGCCCTCGGTACCAGAGCAAAAATAGACACTATAAACAGCTCTGGTCAAGATGCGAGTGTGTGCATGCCTGCGAACGATATTGAACACGAACACCTGGGCATGTGTTGAACTTGAATGTACCGATAGCAAAATGAAACAATTTTTTGGTCCACTTACATGTGTACGTGACGAAAGCGACAAAACTGTAACGCAATGGGGGAAAAGTAAGACCTCCAGGTTTTACAATCTTAGGAGTTTTAACAAGCTACATGTGTGTTAATGAATCACTGTTTAATAAAAAGTGTGGGTTAACATTTTTCAAACCTTTCTTTGCGTGACGATGCAAAAAGTTTCCCAGTTCATAAAACAAAAGTGGTTGAAAATGTGGATTACATGTAAATACATGTAGGTCATATTTTAAAACATTTTTTTGGCAGTTTTGCACAATAAGGTTTTTTGCCCCTTTGTGAGATCGACAGTATCAAGGTACTGTACATACACTGTACATGTACATGTACCGCTAGGTAGTGGTTTGCAAACCTACAGGTGTACAGCACTGTAGTGAATGGGACGACTTTGATTTTTTTAGGCCAAGAAAAAATAAAGTTAGGGTGGGTATGTTGGCTCTGAATTTTATCATCCAAATATATTTGGGGTGGGGGAACCACAGTCAGTAAGTTGTTTACCTGCATTCATTTACTGGTGCGTACTTCTAATAACAAGAGACATTGCTAGGTTCACATTTTCAAGTCAGCTATGCCCCATCCTGATTAATAAGCCAGTAACACGTGTTTAATCAATTGGAAACAATACAAACCAATAGCAACTCAGATCTGTACCGGTAGCAACAGGTACATGTACATGTACACTTCAAAACTCTAACCGTGGATGATTGCCTGTTAAGGTGGTGCCACGTCGTGTCTTTGCGGCAAACCAGGCATAAGAGTGCTCACAAGAGTTTCCTCTTTATCTTTTGTTCAATCTTTTCATCGTAACCCTTCAGGTGGCCCGGGCTCCAAGAAGGGACGCATCGTGGATGACCTCATCCACATGTACGGCTTCAGGGCCCTCATCGCTGAGGATCTCATCTTGAAGGAGCTGCCCAAGAAGGTGCAGAACGTGATGGCCATTGAGAGCACCAGGGGACTTGCCGAGATGCTCAAGGTACAGGCGAGACCAAAAGTGATGTTAAAAACCCAAACCATGCTGAGTTCAAAAGGATCCAACTACATACGTGTACGGGTACCGCTACATGTTCATGTGTGTGAGCAGTTAACTCCTTGGATTTTTATTGCCTAAAACCTGGGCCCAATTTCATGGCGCCGCTTACTGCAAGCGAAAAATCGGCGCTTACTGTAGCAGAAAATTCTGTGTTTAGGACGAACGCATTTCACAGGTTAGCGAGGACTTTTGGCTTGTGCGCATGTGTACATGTACATCACATAACTAAGGATTACAAGTGTGCTTAACTGGTTAGCGCAGAATTTTTCTGTTAGTGCAGAATGGAAATCGCACATGTTAAGTGCAGAATTCTGCGGAAAGCAGTGCCACGAAATTGGGCCCTGTTGGATAGGGTATAGTACCGGTACATACACTGAAAGCAGTTCAGTAATGATGAAACATATTGTTTGTACCATGCAAGTAGCTTGGCTTCAAGCAAGGTACATGTAGGTTGATGTACCAGTACTGGCTCTGTCCTTGCCTTCCACCTCTGCGACCCGGGTTCGAATCCCACCTACATGTAGGTCAGCATGTGGATTGGGTTTCCTGTCCCTGCCTGATCCCGCCGGGGGTTTTGCCTGGAATATGGTATGTTGGTACTGTATGTGCTGTTGTGTACGGTCGGTATATTTTGCTGGATTCAGTGAGCAACAGAAAAATTAAGGCACAGTTGTGTGCTATTATTAGCTGGAAACCAGTAGGTGGAGCAAAAAAAAATTAGGGTGGGGGATATAACCTTCTTGGCCTTTCTTTGTTGTTAGGCTACATTTTGAAGTTCTTTATACGCTTTCTGAAGGACAGAAAATGAAAAAGACCCAAAAATCACCTTTCCCTCATGAGGCAATCAGGCTCCTTTTGGGGAGGAGTGGCCCTCATTGGCCCTCCCTGGACATGCTGGATCCCACTAAATTAGGGTTAAAATAACCCCTTCATTGTCAGCTGGGGTCCACATCTGTTGCTTGCCGCATAGAACTGTTGCTGAATATTTGTCCCACAAGACCAGGGATGTGTTATTACAACACCTAACCAGAAGCATGTTTTGTGACATCAGAGCACAAGTTGAAGCTGGCGCAAAGAAACACAGAACCAGAAGTATCATCTACATGTACAATGTATGTACCTTTTTAGAGGAGCAGGTGTCCTTTCAGATGACAATGATTGATGATTGTCAAATCTGGAAAATTTGTAGATCGTGTTTACATGTAACATATCTAAGGCCATTTTCCAGTACTCAACTTCATCTCCGTCTGGGGCTTCTTTCCAAAAACCGTTCCTCGATTGTGGGCCTGAAGTGTTAAAATTACCTTGGATTACTGTAATTTTTGGCTTTCTTGCATCTTATTTGATGTTCTGTGGCACTATTAGACTGATTACTGCGCTTACAGCTTCAAAGTCAGCTAGTAAAAAACCAGTTGATGCGTGAGACAGAGCCGGAGTTGAGTATTGGAAATGGCCTAACACTAACGGGCTAAAAGAGGCAAATTGTAAGGTACCGTACAGTACCGGTAGCAGAGGGCATTGCTTATAGTGTCATCTTCACTCAATATTTGACATTTTTTCCACCACCTCTGCTCTCCTTTCACATTCGAGAAGAAAGTATTAACTTGGATTCACCACTTGTAATAACTAAGTTGGCAAAAATACGCCAAACCTCTGACCAGATCAGAAACAGGCAAGTATCGTGGTCAGATTTGCCAAAAAACATTCTGGAAAAATATCAATTTTAAGCTTGTAATCTACGGTACATGTAAGCAGAAGATATAAATTGTATGCTGGCGGTCATGGCGGTAGGTTCTTCTCTTATACTGGCATACTGGTACCCTGGAACATGTACATGTAGTTTCATACATTTGTACACGTACTGTGTTGTGGGCTGAAAAGTGTTCAAAAATTCACAAGCTTGATGGGATGGCTTAAACCCAAGACTTCCTGCTTACATGTAGTAGGCAATTCTAAGGAAATGTCACTCTGACAAATTTTCTGACTGTTTATATTGGCAATGCATTCGAAGATCAGCCACAGATTACAGAAAAATTCAACTTTATATTTTACCGTAGGTTTGACCCAAAATTATCAAACAACTGTAGTTACCAGTACATGTACATGTAATTGGCTAAAAAAGCAAATTCTGAATTAACTGCCATTTGAATGATATTTCACCAGCTGGTATGAAATGTACATGTATTATGATAATTTTCTAGTGCATGTACATGTATCCAAATCCTTGAGCAAAAGCCGTTCTTTTACCGGAATGCCCAGCATTTCAAATTTGAAACGAAAAAATATAGCCTTCAACTCAAAATCCTACTGTTTGTAAATTTACTGAGATGTGTCAGTTTGATACCGAAATATCAAAAACGTAGCCATCTGTTGGAAATAACTTTGATCCAATTTCTTTTTCTAGTCATCCTGTCATCAGTGAGTGAACAGTAACAGCACTGTATGAAAAAAAAACCATACGTGTAAATTTTGTCTGTTATTATTGAAATTAATAACAGTACAGTACATGTTTGTACATACATGTTCATGTAGATGTACATGTATGGTTGCCGGTAAATTTTAGACAATAATATCTTGTTAACGCGACAGACGTCAGCCACAGACTTGCTTGGAATGCTTATAGCAAGAAGGGGAAGATGGAAGTAATGACCAAAGCTGACACGGATTAATGTGTCTCAATTTCAAAGAGCTGCTTTTAGCAAATGAAATACTCTGAGTAAATTGCCCAAACAATACTGGATGAGAAGTCACTTGAGACCCATGAGGATTTGTTGTGTCCACAACTACGTACATGTACAGTGTGGGTACTGTACGTGTATTAAAGTTGAAATGGCTTACATGTACGTTCGTATTGTACATGTGTACACATACTCGTAGTGTACATGTTTACACAAGTTCCTCACAAAACAAAATCTGTATAGCAGGCTACATGTACATGTACCGTATGTATCTGCACTCAAAAGATGTCCTAGCGCAGAATGGGTGGTGTTTTTTGCTTGAGTGGTTTACAATCCGCTTAAATTTGATTTGCAAGCTTCACTGTAAGTCCCAATATGTACATGTGTGCCCAGCATACTTGAGTGTACATGTACATGTACCGGGTACTTACATGTACATTTGTACATGTAGGTACCCGGTACATGCATGTGAAAACAAACTTGTAGAATGTCATGGTACATGTACATGTCCCGTTACACGAATTTTTAAATGCCAAAAGTAAATTACATACACTGTACAAGCATAATGTGTAATGTACCGGTACAGTTTCGTTTTGTTTTTTTATTCAAAGATGTTGAGTGTGTTTACTCGAAATCAGATTGCTCAAGTCGAAAACCAACTGTTATAAAACTAAATGTTTAAAGAAACTTCTGTAATCAAGCCATACATGTACATGTATGCACATGTACATGTGCATTTAGTGTATATGCCCTGCCCTCATTCTAGAGAACTCTTAGTTTATAATTGTTGGTAGACATCCCTTTCAATGGCATACAGTCAGTATGTGCCGTTATATACATGTACTTATGTACATACGTCATGTACATGTACGTATGGGGAGGCATGTGGCCTAGTGGTTAGGGTTTGTAGTTTGTGATCATTGGGTCAGGGGTTCGAATCCAGCTGGTGGCAGCATGTTGTGATCCTGGGCAAGTCACTTTACCCCGACATGTATGTGCCTCTCTCCACTCAGAAGTAAATGGGTATAGTACGCGTACCTGTGAGGGCAGATATGGTAGTTCAGCTGTTTGCGCCAAAATGGCAGCACCGGGCTAGTACATGTACATGCATACACTCCCCAGGGAGCTGAGATGGTTTCAGGAATGTTGTTCAGATGATGTGTGAGCCCAATGTGCAGGGATAATGATAATAATGGTTTGTTAGATAGATGGCGCTTTACAGATGCTTGTTATTATTATTATTACATGTACAGTGTACATGTACATGTACTGTACAATATACAGTACATACATGTACTGTACATGCACAGTCATGACAGTGTATTATATATGTACATGTATGTACCGGTAATTCAGTTATCCTGAACATGCTGAATAGACCATTGCTCGAATGCAGGAAATGCATATCGTATAGTGTACACGTACGTGATCTACATGAATGTACGGTACAGTACCAGTACACATCGTGGAGAGTTGTGTAAAATTTTATAATAAATGTTTGTTGTGCATCCATTGAAATAACTGATTGGCCGGGCATTTCTTCGGCTGTGAAATGTTTCTTAGGCTATGAAATTGGTTGCCTTATGTTGAGAATAAACGCACAGTATGTACATGTACGTGTACATATTATTACTATTACATATATATTTCTGGTACTGACACTAAGGATTCCTCAAAAGCTCCCTAGGCACTGTACATGTAGCTCGCGAGCCTGAAGAAACCTGTAGAGAGGAGACAACGAGAAGCAGTTACAGTTTTAGACATGTTAGAGGTGGGAGGAAAACCCCAGGGGAATATTCTGGGTAAAACCCACGGAATCAGGTAGGGACTGAAAACCCAATCCACATGTGGACCAGGCCGGGATTCGAACCCCGGGCCGCAGAGGTGGAAGGCGGCGAAAGAACCACCACGCCAACCAGACGTGTACATGTACTGGTACTAGTACGATATATGCACATGTAATATATATGTACCTGTACATCACAAATCTCAGTGTGCATGTGACCGTGATGACTGGGTTGATGATTGTTACACATGTCATTAATGAACCGTTGCCATTTCTATGCATGTATGTACATGCAAATGTACAGTATGTATTTGTACTCTTTATCAACCATCATCTCCATGATACATGTACATGTATGTACATACCTGTACACTACATGTACATGTATATCAATCATCATCTCCATGCTGCATGTAAAACATATGTACACTGTACCGTATATTTTACATGTGCAGTTGTACCGGTACTTTGGTTTGTTT